ATTTATTCTATTATTTGTTTTCATACTTCTTAAGTTGAAAAATAAGTCCATTAATTTTTAGTCTCTAAGTATAGTACGGCTTTACTTCCACATTATAGAATTTAATAGGTGGCATTTTCATCATTGTTCAGCTCCAAGTACTTTCTAATTGCATTTTCTTCTTTGGTCCATGAGTATGTAGAAGCATAACTATTTTTAAAAGTTGTTATAAAATTGATTTCTCCCTTATTGGAATTAGGATCCAAAATTGAATTCTCTAGTCTTTGATGGTTGTTGAAACTTGCTTTATGGCTTTTAATATAACCTGTTTTTAATGTTGCATATGTTCTTGCAAATAATGGGCACTTTCCAACTGATGCTTGTTGATTTTTTTATGTTCATCCAATAAAGCTTGTTAATTGTGCAGTTCAAATATAGTATATTTCCGGAGTCCATTTTAAATTAAAATGGTTGGTTTATATTTTTCTTCATCACAAGCAAGGAGTATATGTTTAGTCCTCAAACCTATTTGAGTGTCAGGTTGAAGTCACAAATTCTTAGGGAAATTTTTTTTCTACCTCGAATCAAGCAGACATATGTGATTTCTTACGGTCTACCTCTGCAATTCCCCCCAACCCCCACAGTTCAGCACTTGGCTGACTGTGTATCCCTTTTTCAATCTTGACTTTATGCAGGGGTCTTCACTACCTCCCCTGATTGTGTCTCCTACAGTTGTAGGCACAGGGATAGTAGCTGTCCTCAGGGCATCCAGGAGCTTTGGTAGACCTCACCTTCCCAGATTCTTTCTCTAGCTACATACCTGGTCTTAGAGAACTTTTCCTACTCTCTTATAAGCTTATAAATTTATTTTAAATGGCATTTTAAAAGACGTTATCTGGCATTATTAGATGTTTTATAGTGGGAGGGTTTTAGGATCTGGAAACCTTATGTATTTAATTCTGCCAGTATATTCTTTCTTACCTTACTCCTCTTTCTCTCTCTTTCTCTCTCTCTCTCTTCCAGCTTGCCATGTTTTTGATTGCTCTTATTTCATGAAGGCTATGTATTCTTGTGTCTTTTTAAAGCATAGCAAGAATATTTTTCCTAGTTACTGTAGTATGTTTTCAGTGGTTTACATACCCATGAACTGAGAGGATGTTATTTTATTTTCTTTGCTCTATAATGTCTTATTTTATTTTTTTATTTTTATTTTTTGAGTTGGAGTCTCTCTCTGTCGCCCAGACTGGAGTGGAGTGGCACACTCACCGCAACCCCAATGTTGACTTGCTGGGCTCCAGTAATACTTCTACCTCAGCCTTCCAAATAGCCAGAACTACAGGCATACGCTATCACAGCAGGCTAATTTTTGTTTATTGTAGAGACGAGGTTTTGCCAAGTTGCCCGTGCTGGTCTCGAACCTGTGGACTCTGGCATTCCATTTGCTTCGGCCTTCCAAAGTGCTGGGATTACAGGCTAAGCCACCGAATACGGCCTACAATATTTTAAAAGAGATTCCATACCCTCTTTTTTTTCTTGACTTATTCTTGAATATAGAATAACCTATCTGGACCTGGTGTTTGCCAACAGACAGACTGGTCAAATTGTCATTGACCCTCTTATCTCTTCATGTGGGTGCTTTTCAAATTCCCTTCACAGATCCTAAGGTCTAACAGACTTTGGTTCTCATGGTTCTCATGGATTTAGAGGAGATATTTTCCTATCTGATCACATGATTTTTCCATACTTTGAATAGACAAAGCTCAAGAAAATCTACAGCTCCAACTCTGCCCAGGATGGCTTTTCCTACCCATGTTCTTGTCCAAAACATTTTGTGATATAAAGGGGCCATCATCTGTTCTCTTCCTTTCTCTTTGCTCCAGTTCCCTGCTCAGTTTTATTTACTGATTTTGGTTGGATGTAGATGGGAAGAATGCTTATAAATTGTTTTATAAAGAAGTGCAGAAGGGGATGAAGGGATGGGACTGGCTTGGCAGTAAAACAGAGCAGCAGAGTGACTAGCTTCCTGACTGAAATGTGTGGTATATAGGTCTTCTCTTATAGGTCTTGCTAAAAATGTATGCTCTTCGGCCTTTGCAGATCAACTAAGAGTCTCACTGTGGAAGGAGGAATGGAGTCCTGGAATCTGCATTTTAATAAGTTATTCAGGTAATTAGGATGCACACAAAAGTATAGGACCCACTGGCATGAACCTTTGACTTACCAGCTGGGGGAGACAATAGGGAGAAATGGAGCACCTTTCAGTTGGACATAACATGAATAGATTATTAATTGCATTTTTCAACAAGTTACATTAATGTGGCAGGTAAAAAATATTCCTCCTAGACTCGGGAAAAAGCTCGACAGTCAGTACTAGTTTTTGGTAGTATGATTTTTTTTAAAAAGTATATAATTAGATATTTTAGTGAGAGTTTGAAACACTATACGTAGAGGCTGTGACAGACATCTTTTAAAATCAAACAACTTTGGTTCATCTTGAAAAAGCATTGTGAAGGTTCACTTTCCCATTCAGCCTCAGCAGGGCTTCATCATTTCAAGTAGAGACTATTTTTTACTGCCACACAGCTAGCACTTGATGCTTTTTGTCTTCTTAATTCATAGTACACATTAGTGCCTAAAATGTAATAAAAATGTCCAGTGGTTGTCCAATTTCCCCGTAACATAAAACCTAACTTTTTCTTTCTTTTTTTTCCTCTTTTAATTTTTATTTTAAGATTGTGGGGTACAATTAAGAAGCCCAACTTTTTCATCCAGCCTATAGTCTTCATTCTGTAAACTCTTCCTCTGTTCTGACAATACCTTCCACTACTTCTCAAAGACTACCTTCCTTACCTGGCTGGTCTCGTTGCTCCTATAAATTAACTCTGCACATCAGGACTCCAAGCCTTTACTCATGTTCCATATTCCTTGGTTCATCCAAACCTACACTATATTCAAAGTAAATCTCAGGTGCTACCTTTTCTTCAGTTCAAAAATTTTCTTCCACATTGTAGGTTTGCTACTCTCAAAAATCTTCACCATTTTTCCATTTCCTGGAGGTTAATGTTCAAATTCCTTTTGGGATACAAAATGACCCCAGTTTCTCTTTCTGATCTTGTACCTACAAATTGTTTTGTGCTTGACCTCTAGACACACTGAATCACTTTTTGATTCTCAGTTGTGCCCTGTACTTTCAGCTCTTTCTCTCTGTTCGGGATCTGTCTGCAAGATTTGACTTGCTTTTCCTCAGCCTGACAAACTCTTGCTTATTCTTCAAGAACCATTCCAAACATTACCTTCTCTGTGAAGGCACATTGATCTTTCCCCAGGGGTAGTACTTCACCCCAGAGTACCTAAAGCCTAAATCTACATGTGTCTCACTGTATTGTAATTCTTTATTTGTATGTTTGTCTTTTATATGTGATGTGAGCCCATTGCATTACAGTATCTTGCAGGGTGCTGTTTATACAGCAGTTGCTCAATAAATGTGTTTGAATGCTCTAACCAGTATTGATCTCCTCACTGTCTTAACTCCAAAAGCTCTTAGAGCTTACATAAGTCATTTTGCTTAATTGCCTAAGATTGTTCTTGCATTCTTTCGGGTGTGTATTGAGTTCCTTTGAGATTATATGATGATGCCTTAACCAAGGTATACTTCCAGCTTCAGTTTCTTCATCTGTAAAATGGGGGTTATAGTAGCACAAAGTATTCTTGTGTGAAATGGGATAATGCATTAAACTGTTTATCACAATGCCTGTCACATAGTATGTGCTCAAAGTGGGAAAAATATTTTTAAATGCTTTTAAATTTACACCCTACATTTATACCATTTTCTCCTATCGGTCTCGTACAGTTGTGAGGATTAAATGAGAAGATAGGCATAAAACCATGCTGTAATGCAACATGTAAATATTTATTACTCTATTTTCACTGTCTTCCCAACCAAGATGCCTGGTTCAGCCTTCATTTCCCAAGTCCGAGTCCTTCAGCAAGATTCTCAAAGCCTGCTTTATCTGGCCTTGCTTTTCTTTTGCAGTCTCCCCTCCTTCAGTCTTCTCAGCAGCTAACACAGGTTATACACACAGTAGATGCTCAATATGTATTTAAAGACCGTGGGAGCTCTAGAATCATCAAGGGCTTTCGCTGAAAATGAAGGCTTCTGCATTTTTTGTTTGATGTTTGTTTTGCATAATTTGATTCAAACTTTTTGCTTTTGTCAATTCACTCCTGACATTTTGGGGATGTAGGCTAATTATATTAGGCTTAGCTTGCTTTGTGGCAGGACTGCTTACGTTTTTGGAATGCATGAAAGGGAGGCAGCCTTAGCCAGTGTCCTACTTTTTCCTCTTACTAAAGACATAAATTATGTGTATATAACTTGTATTACAGCATGACTGAAAAAGCACTTGATTTGGGTCCTTTCTGACATTTTGGCAATTACTACATGCCATTAAGATGCGAATTTTCTATGTAGAATTTAAGAAGCAGTAGTAACACATAGAAACAAGAAAAACACAAGGGGGTAAGGCCTTCGAGCAGTGTCTGGACACTGGTGTGGTCACAATGCATTAAGACAGGTGAAAGGTCCCATAATCCCCTGCATGTTCTCTGAATTTCCGAAAAGGATTTGAAGCAGCGTGCACGCAAAGCGCACCATAGGAAGACTGGGCCGCGACCTGAGAAACGAAGACTTAGTGCAAGTATCTGATGGGCCACGGCGACAAGGGCTACTAAAACCCTCCGGCATCCCCTGCACCCCTGCTAGTTTATGGGGTTACAGGGGTCAACGGCTGCAGGCTTGGCGCATCCAGGTGCCCAGTGGCAGGGGTGGCAGGCGCGCGCCGCAGTTTGGCGCCGCAGCTCAGATCACCCGAGCACCTGAGCAGCGGCCGCTGCTGGCTCTGAAGACTCGCGCGCCGCGGACTCCTTCCGCCCAAGTGGCCCGGGCGGGCCGACCGGACTGAGCCGGCGGCGCCGGGGGAAGGAGTTTCCGGCGGACCCGGCTTGGAGCCGCTTCCTGTCCTCCTCGCCGCGCCGCCTCACGGGGCCAGCCCGGGACGCCGCTCGACCCCTCGCCGTCCCCGGCCCCATGCAGTCCCGGCTCCTGCTCCTCGGGGCGCCCGGCGGCCACGGCGGATCAGCCTCGCGGCGCGTGCGGCTGATCCTGCGGCAGGTGGTGCGGGGCAGGCCGGGCGGCGACAGGCAGCGGCCGGAGATCAGACTGCTGCACACCGGGGCGGGGGCTGACACAGGTAACCCGGGTGCCCGCCGTCCCCCCCGTCGCCCCGCGCTCCGTGCTGGGCCCCGCGCCGCCGCCTTCCTCCCTGCCGCCTCGCTGCCCGTGGGAGGAGCATTTGCTGCGCAGGGAGCCGAAAGATTGAGGTTCTAGTCCCGACCTCGCCCTAACTGCTGTGTGCGGTGGGGGCTAGGCGCGTGCACTCTCTGGGCCTCATTCTGTAACCGGAGGGGTCTGAACTAAGGTTTCTGATGACCTGGGCTAGCGAGTTCTCCTTCCCTCGCCGCTGCTTTTACGCCTGGCTTGGATTGTACTACACACAGAGGTTAATGCAGCAGCCCTCCGGATTTGCGGAAAGCCGGACTTGACCTTGCTCCCTGAGTCCCAAGGGCCTGGAAGCCGGTCTGTGCCATGTTCCAGCCAGGGTTTGTGGCTGTTTATAAGTGTCCATTCTCGCCAGAGAACCCGTAGTTCACATTGTTTTAAATGTAACCACGAACCCTTGCAAGTTTTAAAGGAGTTTTTCGTCATCAAGTTTCACATATTCTTAGAGCTGACAGTTACACCTTTAGTTAAAGCACTTGACTCTACAATTGAGGTCACTGATCCCAGAAGGAAAAAGTGACTTGCTGGAAACCGCACGACTAACTAGTGACTATGCTAGAATCACATGCTCTAATTTCTAAGCTCAGAGTTTTTTGGCTCTACCTGATGTGGTTTTAGAAATTGTTTTTGTTGTGTGTTGGTGGGTGAGAGTCTTTGTGAGGTTTAAGGAAGGGATATCCGTTGCTGCTGCTCTTGAATGGTGAAGTGATTCTAGGCAAGATTTTGCCAATGCCATTCACTGTTGCTTAGAAAAATGGATGTTTTTACTATGAAGTTGTAGGTTTCATTTTTTTTCCTCTTGCCCTCTCCTACTCCTCCAAGCCCCCATCATTTTACCTGCCAAGAAATTAGCAAGTTTATGTCCCATGCATTTCATTTCATTCATTCATTGATTAATTGAACAAATGCTTCTCTATCGGAGGCAGCTGAAATTTTGAATTTTGCTTTTTCTCAGTTACTGTGACTTCTAGGTATTTATTCGTGTTATTTTTCTTTTGTGTTTTTTGTTTGTTGCTCCTTTGTCCTAGAAGGTAGAGGTCAAGGGTAGATGTAGCAAAATCTATACTTTATGTTTCAAAATTAATCTGGGTTGGAAGCCATAGGTACTTGATGGTAGGTTACTTAACTTTGTGTCCCAGCTTTTTTACCGGTAAAATGAAAATAAGAAAAGTGTATCTGCTAGCGTTGTTGTGAGGATTCAAATTAGTTAATATAATCTGCAGTACAATTAATCTTAACAAAGGTAGCTTCTTTTATCATTTTTGATATATACATTTTCAGTCATGTGAAAGTTACTCTGTTTCCTTTCCTTTAGAAGACATGAAACCTTTCCTTTTAGGTTAAGAACATTTAGAACCATCTGGCTAGGCAGATACAGCAGAGTTAAGTGACATACACTTAAAAAAATTGTTCTTTGTACACGAATAATACTTGTTGATTGTAAAAAACATTAGAAACACATGTGAGTGTAAATTTTTAAAGTCTGTATTATATACGTATTGATAGATTAGTGGTAAATGTCTCAAAATTTGTGTTATGTCCATCAAATCAAAGTGCAGGCTTTGCTTCAAAAGTGAGTCTTATAGACCCATTATGGACAACATGCTATCTTCTTAGACCCAGTCATTGACCCTAGCTGGATCAGACCGCGAGAAGTAAATTGTGAAGGTATGAGGACTGTGGAGAAATGCAGTGGCAAAGTCATCAGAGATCTAGACTAAATTAAGAACAGTTGTGAGTGAAGGCAACCGAAAGCAAGCTCTTGGCTGCCCTGAGACATAAGGGTGAGGCCATCAAGGTTGAAGTGTCCCATTTTGAACCAGAGGTCAAACACGGACAAGTATAAAACCACAAATAGCAGTAGGCCACAATGGGTAACAGTTTATGTTACCATAACATAAAGATGCTGTCTGCTGCACTCCTACCTGTGACCAGTAACTCATTATCTCCTCTCTGTGAGTAATTGGCATTGCGTCCTAGTTGTTTGAAAAAAGAGCAGCAAAGTATCTAAAAAATAGATCCAAGCTGTATACTGTTCTTATTCCTCCTGGGCTGTATATCTGTCTTATTTATCTATTTATTCCTTTAGTGCCCGCCAATACTTTGTACTTAATAAGCATTCAGTGGCTTATTCTGTCAAAGTTCGTACAGAGAAGAAACAGGAGAGACTGGAATTGCCTTGCCAGCTCTCAAGATGGGACAATTAAGCCTGATAGGCAGAAGGAAGAGAGGTCATTTATGTTAAAAAGAAAACAAACACAACCCAAACCCATTGTTTTTTATCCTTTGTTATCAGTTCGTATAAATATCCTATCAGGTTGTATAAATATCTTGAATTTGCAAATTATTTATATTTCTTTATACTTCAATTAATATTGTTGTCTCTTCACTTTAGCAACAAAGAAGTTAACAAGGTTATCTACTGCAAAGAGTTGTCAGAAAAGATTACTGTACTGTTTTCACAGATGGAGCCAAGCAAGTTGGTTCAGTAGGACTCTGATGTTAAATGGATTCCGATTTACCGTAGATCTAATGATAAACCTAGAAATATAACTCTGTATAAATCCACCATGACATATATAGTACTCTTCTTTAACATCATTATTAAGGGGATTTGCTGGTTTTTTTCTTTATGACTCTGTGTATGAAGATAAATTTGTTTATAGAAATACTTTAAAACACTTTTGCACAGCATTGTAAATTTGTTGTATAAAAGTGAAAAATACAAATCTTCTAAAATAATCTTCCACCCCAAATTCATAATGATCAACTTTTTAATGTTAATCATATCAGATTTTATATATGTATTTATACAAATAGAGTTTTATTTTTAAAAATGGAATTGTGTGTATTTTATAATTTATCATACTCATTGTGACTATATTAACATGGTGATAAGTATTGCTGTACATGATCACTCAAAATAGGTATTAAGTTTACATATTTATCTATATAATTTATTTTACTGTTTTTTTATTCTTGCACATTCAAGGTATCTAATTTAAAACATCTAAACAATGAAATAAACATCTATCTATATTTTTGTTATTTTTAAGATTATATCCTTGGGCTATAATGGGAAGAGATAGTAATAAATGACTTTGTTGGGGGGGAACTATAGGACACTGGTTTGAACTGAGAAATATAGTATAAAGGGGAAGGAACAAGCAGAACTCACTCATTGTAAAAAATAAAAAACTAAAATAAAGGGAAAGGAACTATACTGTGGTTTTGGTCTTGACTATGCATTTACTTGTTTATTGAACCTGCAGCAAGTTATTTTGACCCTGAGGATATTCTGACCCTGCTGTATATTGAAAAATTTAGCAGTAAAATTCCAGAATAATTGTAATTTTAAAAATCATTGGATAGACCTGTACTAGGAGCACAACCATTAACATGGAAATTGCTGATACATTTTGCTTTCTCTTGGGTCTAAATTTAGTATGTAAAAAATATAGTGACAATAAACCAGTGGTTCTTGACTCAAGATGATTTTTCTCCCCTAGGGGACATTTGGCAATGTCTGGACACTTTTTAATTATAAGAATCAGGCAGGAGGGGTGCTACTGGAATCTAGTGGGTAGAGGCCAGTGCTGCTGCCAAGCATTCCATGATTCACAAGCCAACCCCTTATGACAAAGAATTATCTAGTTCAAGATGTCAAAATGCCACTGTTGAGAAACTCTGACCTAAACCAACTTTTTTTGTCAAAACTACTGTTAAAAACTTTGGCAAACTAAATTTCACAGACTTTAAGTGAGCAAAGAACAATTAGCAAATTGTGCAGACCTCAGAACAAGAAGAAATTCAGAAAACTCCATTCTGCAACATGGGCAGGAAGCATTTTTGGACAGAAAATGGAAGTGAGGTACAGAAACAGCTTGATTGGTTATAGCTCAATGATTGCCTTATTTGAATATGGTCTGATTACTTGGCCGCCTGTGATTGCCTGAAGCTCAGCTGCTATGATTGGCTGAGACTCAGTTATTTGTTACCAAAGTATACTCCTAAGTTAGACTTTTAGTTAATTTATGTACTAAGTTAGATTGCAGTTTGTTACATAAGGACACAAAGTACAGGGACATCCTCAGGTCAAATTGGTTTAATTTAACAATTTTTCCCCTTTTTGTCAGCCTCCCAATTTTGAGACATTGACCAAAACCTTTGGTGTTGATGCCACTCTCTGTCACCATCATAATGGACTTAACTTGGTTTCACTACAATCATGATGTCACATCAGTTGAATAATTCTTCATGTTGGTCTAGTCAAAGTGAGACCATTGAATGCTCAATAGATGTCTGCATATAAACGTTTAAGCCTTGAGAGGATATGGCATACCAGAAGGTGTTATGATGATTCGAAGGAAAATAATAATCAGCAACTGAAGTGTACTTTTTTTTTTTTGAGTTGGAGTCTTACTCTGTGGCCCAGGCTGGAGTGCAGTGGCACACTCAGGGCTACCCCAGCGTTGACATCTTGGGCTCTGGCGATCCTTCCGCCTCAGCCTTCCAAGTAGCTGGAACTACAGGCACGCTACCATGCCCGGCTAATTTTTGATTTATTGTAAAGAGGAGGTCTCGCCAAATTGCCCAGGCTGGTCTCGAACCCATGGACTCAGGCAATCCACTCGCCTCGGCCTCCCAAAGTGCTGGGATTAGAGACTGAGCCACTGAGCCCAGCCTGAAGAGTACTTCTTAACAGGAGCTTCTGTGAAGTGAACAACAGCAACAACAACAAAAATCAAGTTTCAGTCGATATAGACAGTTCAGTAGTATTTGAGTCCAGTTAGTTTTAGTTTGTGTTTGGGGTATGATGGCTATTAGGGACCATGGTTTGCTGTAGAATGGTCTGATTTTTAAAAGGTACTCAATTTCATTGTTCATCTGGTAACACAAGTTATAGTAACC